CTTAAAAATAGACTAGACCAATTGGCAAAAGAGTTCCAAAAAGCCCATGAGGAGAATGCCTTAAAAAGCAGAATTGGCCGAATGGAAAAGGAGGTCTAAAAGCTCGCTGAAGAAAATAATTCCTTAAAAAATTAGAATGGAGCAAATGGAAGCTAATGACTTTATGAGAAATCAAGAAATCATAAAACAAAACCATAAGAATGAAAAAAAAAAGAAGACAATGTGAAATATCTTACTGGAAAAGCAACTGACCTGGAAAATAGATTCAGGAGAGATAATTTAAAAATTATTGAACTACCTGAAAGCTGATAAAAAAAAAAAGAGCTTAGACATCATCTTTCAAGAAATTATGAAGGAAAACTACCCTGATATTCTAGAACCAGAGGGTAAAATAGAAATTGAATTCCAAAAATAAAACTCCTGGGAATATTATAGCCAAATTCCAGAGTTCCCAGGCCAAGGAGAAAATATTTCAAGTAACCAGGAAGAAACAATTTAAGTGTCGTGGAGCCACAATCAGGATAAAACAAGACCTAACAGGTTCTACTTTAAAGAGTTAGGGGCTTAGAATATGATATTGTGGAGGGCAAAGGAGCTTGGATTACAAACAAAAATCACCTACCCAGAAAAAACTTAGTATAATTCATGGAGGGGAAAAATGGATATTCAATAAGATAGAGTAATTTGATGCATTCTTGAGAAAAGACCAGAGCTAAATAGAAAATTTGACTCAAGAGAAGCATGAAAAGGTTAGCAGGAAAGAAAAAGCATAAGCGACTTATTAAAGTTAAACTGTTTACATTTCTACATGGAAAGATGATATTTGTATTCATAAGACCTTTCTCATTATTAAGGTAATTAGAAAGCGTATATAAAGGCAAATGGCAAGATGTGAGTTGAATATGCAAGGATGGTATCTAAATAAATAAAATCAAGGTGGGGAGAAAGGAATGTACTGGGAGAAAGAGAAAGGGAGAAAAAGAACATGACAAATTATCTTGTCCAAAAGAGGTAAGTAAAAGCTTTTACAGTGGAGGGGTAGAGGAAGGAGATGAGAGAGAATGAGTGAATCTTACTCTCATCAGAATTGGCTCAAAGAGGGAATAATATACAAACTCAGTTGGGTATAGAAATCTATCTTACCCTCCAGGAAAGTAAGGGGAAAGGGGAAAAGAGAAGGGGGTGTGATAGGAAGGAGGGCAGATTGGGGGAGGGGATAGTCAAAGCAAAACACGAGCAGGGACAGGATGAAAGAAGAGACTAGTATGAATAGGGGAAGGGGTAGGATAAAGAGAAATAAAGTTAGTCTTTCACAACGTGACTGTTATGGAAGTGTTTTGAATGACTACTCATATATAACCTACATCAAATTGCTTGCCTTCTTAATAGGGGAAAGGTGAGAGTAAGGGAGAGAATTTGGAACTCACTATTTTAAAAATGAATGTTAAAATTGTTTTTCCATGTAACTAGGGAATAATAAAATACTAAATAAAAATTGAAATAAAATAAAATGACAATAAGAAAACCACAATTGGTCCTTTCTTTTTTCCTTAAACAGACAAGGCTTTAAAAAAGAAGCCTCTTTTTAAGTTGGTCAGTCTTAGAACAGTACTAACACCATAGGAATAGAAACTACTCCTCAAAGATCAGACAATGTAATGGAACTCCTACAGAAGAAGAAATTTTGTCAGTAGTAATAAAAAGCCCAAGAAAAATAGTAGAAACCAGGAATGGAACCCAGTTTAAGATAATTTCAGTTATTAGTAGATAACAACTAGATTTTAGAAACTTAATATCATAAACTAGTGGACTGTACTCCTCTACAGCTACAATCAAAGGCCTATTACTGTAGGATTTTCTAGCGTTAAAATTAGGAGTGTCCCGGCAATTTCAAGTTCTTTCATTAATGCCTGACACTTAGAATATCTTGTCTATGGAAGAGGGAATGACTATCTTCTCTGTATTGTCTGTGTCATTTTCATATAATAGAGCACTTAGCTATAAACTATTTGATATATACAAAATATGGTAGTGTTGGAAATCTTTGCAAGGGAAATTTTGTAGACGTCTCTTTTGTTTATATTAAGTAAAAAATAGTTGATTAAAAGACTTTTACTAAGATTTTTCTTAGATTTTAAATTATATGCTTTATTTAGATACCTGGAATATAATTAATTTTGTGTTTTGATTTATACTAATTGACACTGGATTTTATTCAGCTAATTTTTAAGTAGTTGATTTTAGTAGCAGCATTCAGAATCTATTGAAAATCTGTATAATCTCTGCAAAATTTTATGGCTATAAATAAAACCCGATAACTAGAATAAATCAATTTTCACAGTTTTATCTATTTGTGGGAATATCATATTTATTTTTATATATATAATAATGGTGTTTCCTGATGACATTTATTTTCTAACCAGAAAATTTCTTTGACTCATTTTGCTCATTTTTTTTCTTACCTATCATTTCCAAAATATTTTTCATCCTTTCTTGCCTTCTTTCTTGCCTTTAATGATATTTAAATGAGAAAACCTTGGGTATTCTTAAGGAAACTGCCTCTGATTCATTTGACTTTTTGAAGTGAAAAATTTCATTTTTTAAGGTTAAATGTGTTTTCTGAACATTACAATGGAATTATCATAGTGGGGAAAATGCTTCTTCATCTTCAGAATTTTTTTTCTTTTATTCTGGAAGATTTTGGCACACATTTTAGGGAGTTCTAAAATTTTTAATCTCATAGGCAATTGGTAGCCTGCCTGATAAGCTACCGGCAAACTGTTAATATTCTGGTGCCAATGAGGCTGTTCTTGGCTTAAATCTCTTTATCCATCTATTGGAGTATAAACTACTTGAGCTATTTTATGTGCCTTATTTAAACTTGATAATACCCTCAGCACATAAGTTCTGTATGCAATGGGTGCTTAATAAATATTATGGATACATTCACAAGAGTCTACATAGCCTTAGAGCTCCATGATAATTCTTAAGTATACAATTTCTCCCAAAGAATCTATACCATTCCTGAAGTTTAAAGTCTGTACCAGTTCTGAAGTTTATTCCAATAATTTTTTTTTAAAAAAGCTTTTGAAAAAAAAGCAAACATTACTTTCAAATTCATTCATATTTGATATACTATGACTTCCAAAACCAATTTGAAGAAAGAAAATTTTCTCAAGTTTTCACAATTTGCTTTAGTGTCACTGCCAAAAGTCTGCAGCAAACAGCCAATTTAATTTGAAGAGGCTATATGTTGTGCTGGATGTAGAGGGAGTAAGAGTTATTCAAATATTTTAGCTTATCCTGTATGTATCTTGTACGTACATACTTGTTTGCCATAGTAGACTGTGAGCTCCTTGAAGGCAGGAACTGGTTTTTGCCTTTCTTTGTATCCTCTGGCCTTACCAGAGTACCTGACATATAGTAGGTGCCTAATAAATGCTTACCAACTGATTAGCTGTGCTACTGCTTGTGTAACATGGGTAAATCATATAACTCATCTATCCTCATGGTTGAAAGGGGATGATAATATTTGTACTACTTACTGCATAGATTTTGTTTGTTTGTTTTGGTGAAGAATACAGTTTATAAATGTCCACAATGATTATAGAATCTCAGAGTTGTCAATAACCTCAGAAACCATCTAGTCCAACCTACATAATACCTAGAGACATGAATTCTCTACAGCATTATTAGAGAAGAAGATTAAGACCTATATTGAACTAGACGTCTAGTTCTCTTAGACTTCAAGCCTCTCTTGTTCCCTCCTTCATCCCACAAAATTGATCAGAATCCTGAGGCTGATTGTAGAACCCATTACCACCTGAGGGGTGGGCATTCATCTGGCTGGATTCTAGCCTATAAGCACAGTTGATCTTTGGGGGACAGCTGGAGACTTTTTAAGCCTATTTCAGTCCTGACTTGATTGCCCCTGGGTAGCACCAGTAACATCAGAGCAATTCTGGTACTTAAAGTACAGGCCTTGGAGACTGAGTACATAGCATTGTTGCTATGTGACTAACTATTTGAGATATCTTATCTCTGATAGATGATACCCGAAGCTGATGATGTGAAGCAAATGATGGGAAATGAATGCCACTTGTGGCTGCTTTTTTGAAAATTCCTCTTTGGACAAGTTAGATTTTAGATGAGTTAGGCTACTGCGGATAGATTTTAATTCTGTATTATTTCTATATTATTTGGGAAGGCTTGTAACATTAAGACATTAAGGCGAGGCTCGTATAGTTTGGTTAAATTAGCCATTCCAAGAATGTGAAAATTACACTCCACTGAGAACCATATCAGTGTGTATTGTCCCCTTGGTTCCCATTTTTATCCATTTTTTAGTTGTTTTTCCTTTAACAAACATATCCTTTCCCCCTGTTTCTCTCCTATTTGCCCTTACATATTTTTGGAATAGCAAGAGTCAAGACAGAAGCTTAATTCTAAGATTGTGAATTATCAGTGTTACAAAACAAGATAAAGCAAGTGGCTATAGTGCCCTGTTAAATTTAATTGTTAACCTTGGAGAAAAAAAAAGAAAACTCTACTTCTCTCAGAGTTAGAAGTTCCTACTGTTGTAAAGCAGCACTTTGTACAATAGCCAATAAAGCTGGTATCTCTTAGCACAATTATGAGAAGCATATTGAAATTAACTGTTCTCAATAACACATGGGACTAACATTAGCAATTAACTTTAGGATAAGCATGCTAATTACTTGTTGGTTTTTTCAAGTTTAATACATAGTATTTCCCTATAGGTAATGTAAAAATGTATCATCTCCATTAGCCAAGAAAAATGGATCTTTTCCTGGCCCTTTTTTGCTTACTCAAGTTCATCCTTTGAACTGTAGAGAAAGAAAAAATTTCTGTCTTGTGTTAGCAGTGATGAAAGCAGAGAAAGATGCATTGATTTCTTCTGTCAGTTTGCAGAAATCAGTGATTAGATCTGGACAATTGGTGGCACTTGATCAACATTGCCTTACATTTGTGATTCACAGGCTGACCGCAACCAGCCATTCTCTGACGCCCCCAAGTGATATGGACTCCAGTAGCTCTGAGGAATTCTATCAGGCGGTTCACCATGCTGAACAAACCTTCCGAAAGATGGAAAGCTACTTGAAGCAGCAACAGCTCTGTGATGTGATCCTGATTGTGGGCAATCGTAAGATTCCTGCACATAGGTAGGGGGATCTTTCTTAATCATAAATATATGCCCATGTACAAAACAGTAGGGTCAGTATACAGATTTCACAAAGTCTTATTCCAAGTTAACATTTCCCATTTCTAAAGGATAATTAATGTTCTCTTTCTTTTCCTTTCTTTCTTTCTTTCTTTCTTTCTTTCTTTCTTTCTTTCTTTCTTTCTTTCTTTCTTTCTTTCTTTCTTTCTTTTTCTTCCTTCTTCCTTCCTTCCTTCCTTCCTTCCTTCCTTCCTTCCTTCCTTCCGTCCTTCTTTTCTCCCTTTCTTCCTTCCTTCTTTTCTTTCTTTTTGAGAACAAATGTGGGAGTATTTTAAACCTCAAATATTTTCATAGAAGAGTAAGAGGATTTTAAAACATCTTTCAATTGTTCAGGTACACTCATAATCTTAGATGTGGAGACTGAGGGGAGATTAAGCTGTTCGGGTTTTTTGTTTTGTTTTGTTTTTTGTTCTTGTTTTTCCTTTTTTTTTCTACCCCTAGAGTTAGTTTGTATGGAATATGGATTGTAAAGGCATATCTGGGAAATGAGATAAGGTCTATACTTATCTAAAAAATAACTATAACACCTTTGTTTCATGCAATTGTTTCTTCCAGTAAACTCAAAGAACTCTTCTCATATATTTTGATGGATTATCATCACCGTTTAAAATATTTATTAATAGTATTAATGATGTTGTACTTTGTCCCTAAGGCATTTTAAAGTGAAGATGCATTTAAATTTCCCTCATTTCTTGGCAATTATTATTCCAAAAGTAAAATGTAAATTATCTCTGATCATAATAATGCCATGTCATTTGCATTAAGAATTATGATCTATTTAGGCTGCATTCACTAAATTTGATTCTGGCCACTGCATTTATCTTTTTTAAAATAGCCCCTAAAGTTTTGAATTGGCAAGGAATTATGTCACTTTAAATTAGGGAGCTTAACTAATGCTGTGTATTTAGGCCTACCTGAAAGTACAGTATTTTTCATAAGAAGGAGAATTTAGCTTGGTGAATAAACATTTGTTTTGCTGCAACCTTCTCTTTAGCTTCCAATACTTGTGAATCTAGGATAAGAAAGCACCCTGAAGTTACTTCAGTGACTTTCAGAACCACAGGAAAGGGGCAAAAAGGAGGATTATCAATGCGGCCAAGGAATAGGCTATAATGTGAAAGATGGACATAAAAATTGGTGTCAGGAGAAAAGAAGCACTGATTTTGAAAGAAATACTATATCAGTGTTGTTTTGGTGCTGGTTCAGGCAGCAAGCTATGGTGGAGGTTCAAAAATGTTATTATTTCTTTTAAATCACTCACATATAATAATCATTTTTATTATTATCCATATGACAGTTTTGCTATTCAACAAACGGATATTTAGCAAACATTATTTTTGAAGGTGGGATTAATTAAATCAGTATAGAGGTGGAAAAGCCAAACTTCCTAAGCTTACATCCATTTCTTTTTTCCTCTTTTGTGGGCCATTTTCTCTCTGAAGTTAATAGAAGTTAGCTTTAGCCTAAAGAAGGTCACTGAGTCTATGTTAAGAAATTTGCTTAACACCATGGATCACAATATCCTCTGTGACAATTCTTATTTGAGAATTCAGAAGAACATAGTAAAACTGAGATTATTTTCCCTTGAAAGTATTATTCACTATGGCAGCACTATTGTTGTTGGAGGCAGTTGTAAGTTATTGCTAATTAGTTGATTATTCAAACATAATATAGCCTGAGCATATTTGTCAAAAGAATTAAACTAAATAGTTCCTCCAGACCACTAAAGTCTTTCAGCTAAATCCTTTCAGCTAAATTAATTGCTATATTAACAACTTGGAGGAGGTAATAAACCAGAGAGAGAGAGAGAGAGAGAAAAACTCTCTTCATTGAAAGAATAAGGCCTATAATTTTTGTTTTGTTTTGTTTTTTAACAACAGCTGACCTAAATCCTAACATACCAAATTTTCTCAGTAACTTAAAATGGCAAACAAATTTGAAGTAAAAATGTTATACCACTGTTTTTGATACAAAAATATCAATTATAATACAGATTATATTTCCTTGAAGAGAAAATAATAGATATTTGAACAATGTTTTAAGGTTTGCAGAGTATTATGTAAATACATACATAAGCATATATATTATATGTAATATATATGTTGTTGTCCAGTCATGTCTGACTTCATGACCCCATTTGGGTGGTGTGGGGAGTTCTTGGCAAAGATGGTAGATTTATTTTTCAAGCTCATTTTACAAATGATGAACTGAGGCAAACAGGGTTAAATGACTTGCCCAGGGTCACACAGCTAATAAGTGTCTGAGCTCAGATTTGAACTCAGGAAAAGGAGTTGTCCTGACTCCAGCACTCTGTTTACTTCACCATCTAGCTACCATGGCAAATACATTAGCTCTTCTCACTGTTAATCCTTTTTGACTTCTCAACATCATTATCGCCCTTTTCTCCTGTAAATCCTTTCCTTTCTAAGTTTTTATGACTCTTCTCTCTTCTTTCACCTTCCACCTATCTGGCCAAACCTCATTCTCCTTTTCTGGGTCATCATGCATGTCAGAACCCCTAACTGTTCATCTATTCAAGGCTCTGAGTAATTTCAACAGCTTTTGTGGGATCAATTATCTCCATGGATATAATTCCCAAATCAGTATATTATCTTTCTGCTAAGATCCTGTTTTAGACTATTAAATATCCACTGGACATTTCCAACTAGATATCCCATAGGCACATTGAACTCAACATTTCCCAGATTGAGCTTATTCAGTTTTTCCTCCCAAATCCCAACTCTTCTCAACTCTACCTCTCACCCCCTTCTGACTAAGCTACTGATGCAGTTTAGGGGTTCAGGGGTGCTGGGACCTCAAAATCACAACACATGGGTCCTGTCTGAAGAATTCGACCCAAGCCTTCTTTCAGCCAAAGACAGGGTTTATTAGAACATTGTCATCTTGGACAGAGTCTTAAGGAGTCTGAACATGGGTAAGCAGTGGCTAGATTTTAGGAATCTGAGCAGTGGCTAGATTATAAGAATCTAAGCACCTTAATGGAGACAAGATGGACCTTATATACAGAAAGTCTGTGGGAGGGACCTAGGAGTGGCCAGTAAGCTGGGGTGAACAGAACTCCTGGGACCTGGAACTGGTGGCCAAGGGAGAATGGAGCCTAGCTAGGATTAAGGGTGGGAAATGGCTGAGGCCATAGGGAGGTAAAACAAAGGAGGGGAGATTGGGTGTAGCTGAAATGAAAGGCCAATTGATGGGATTATAGCCTCAGGTGAATTCCAGAGATTTGGCCATGTGGGAAAGTCCAGGGTTTTTCCTTTCCAGTCTCTCAGGTCAAATCCTCAGAGACATCCTTGACTCCTAACTCTCTGTCCCTAACTCCCTAATATCTGATATCAAAATGGTTGCCAATTCTCATTAATTTTTCCTCCATAATGCCTTTCACACTCTTTGCCAAAGTACGTTTGGCTTTCACTCCAGGTACCTGACATGGAGTGAAACTATTAACCAACTATAGAGCTATTTATACTCCCCAAAAGTGATATTCCTCCAGCTCTCATTTCAGTGATTTTGTATTGGGTGTATTGACAGCTGAGGGAAGTTATATTAGAATGGGGTTTTTTGATAGCTACCACAGTGGAGAAACAAACAATAGAACTGGAGCTGTGACACAGGTAACCCAATAGCCAACTAGATTTTGGGTGGTACAAATTTTGAAAAATATTCAGGCATTGGGGTCACCATCTTTCCAGGCCCTAAGTTTTAAAATCTGAATCTTTCATGTCTTCCCATAACCTACAAGTCTTGTTGAGTCTGCCTCCAAAACCTCTCACAACTAGCTTTGCTCCACTCACACCATAACACCCTAGTTCAGTTCACCTTCATTTCCCCTATTAGAATAGCATCCTTACTTAGCTCTTTGCCTCATATTTCTCTTACCACTGAATCTATTCTTCACAAAGCTACCAAAGTGATATCCCCAAATCACAGTTCTGACCATGGCATCCTCCTTCTCTAAATGATCCAATGGCCCTTATAGTTATCTATAATGAATATATACTTCTCTAGATTTTTAAGATCCACTGTCTTGGTCACATTTTTCTATATTATTTCCAAGAATCATGTGAGAGACTTTATCAAATTAATTGCCGAACTCTAGGTAAGACATATCATTCCCCTGATCTAGAAATCTGTTGGGTTTTTTTGTTTGTTTGTTTGTTTTCTTCTTTTATTTTTGTCTCCCCCACACACTTCTTTGGTGTTGGTATATGACTTCACTATAAAAATTTGCCAGTGTGGAAATGATCAATAAATTTTCTATAATTTACAGTTGTAGAGTTGACTACCAATCTGGAAAACTTAAATGACTTGCCCATGGCTGTATGGTTAATACATGTTAGAGTTAGATCTTGAACCTATGTCTTCCTGATTCCAAGGCTTGCCTTCTGTCTGCTATAGCATGCTGCCTTTTGATCTGGTAATTATGTCAATAAAGGAAACATGTTAATTTTGTATAACCCATTGTTGATGAAGCCCTGCTGACACTTGGTGATCACCACTTACTTTTCTAGATGTTCACTAACCATATTTTTAATAGTACTTCAGATCATTTTGGTAGGAATTAAGTAACTGGTCTATGTTTCTGTGAAAATATTTCTGAAAACTTTGCATTTGTTCTTCTCCAGTCATGCAGCACTTTTCTTTTTTCTCCAGGCTCTTTCAAAGGTCACTGTATGTGGCTCAGCAATTCCATTGGCTAGTGCTTTTGGTACCTGCTTCACAAAAATGATTTACTGTGCTGAGTCTTTTGTTAAAAGTTTATTTGCTCGTATTCCCCACTCCCTAAATGATCTGTCTTCAAGGTTTCCTCCAGCACTAAGATGCTAGGCTTGATTTCATAATAGAAACTTCCAAAAAACTGAATGAATTATATAAAGGAATAATTTTAAAGGCCTCATTTGCACCTGAAATGTAGAAATCTTG